ACCATGTTTGGCGAAAACCAAACACAGCACATCGGCACAAACATCTTATGCCAGTTGTCAAGCACGGTGGTGGAGGGGTGATGATTTGGTCTCATATGCCATGTGCTGTTCATCTGAGGTTGTATTTACCTGCTTTTGAGAACTGCTAAGGACCAGATGATTTTTATTATGTCCAGATACATAAAGCCATAGAACTCTAAGAGGGTGTACTTTCTTTTTTACACGACTGTATGCCATTGGAAAAAAGTTAATATTTTACTCCCAGGAGCAGTGCTGCATCATTCAAGAACCCCCCAAGTTGTTGATATAAAAATTGAGCTGCAATTCTTGGACTACACATTGCAATAGGTTCTCAGGCAAGATGTTACAAAAAATGGCATGGGAAAATTAAAAAAAACAAAACAAAACATCCAAAATATAGGCTAGTGTTTCAGTTATGAGTTCTGAAGTTTAAATCAGTCTCAAGATGCAGATTACACTCTAAATGCATTCATAATGGGAGATCTTATCAGTGCTATTACACCTGGCATTCAGGGACAAAGAAACTATTTCTGTTTTATCTAAAGAATGGGGCAGATAAATAAACTGAATTGGAAAAATTACTGTATATAGATTTATCTCTGGGATGTTTATGTTGGTAATATTTTAACCTTAATAAAATCAAAATCAACCTTGATGTGATTTTTTTCCTCCCCAGGAGAAACTGAGCACTTTAAAGATGCCTTTTTTGGAAATGCAGCCAGTGTCAAAGGATTGCCTCTGGCTTTTTATTCTGGAATGTATGCTTACTCTGGTTGGTAAGTGATACTGCTGATTTACTGGTCAAATGGTTTTTGATTAAGAAACTTCTTGTGAAATAAATTCTAACTCACAGAGACAGTGCCTGCAGTTTTTCTTTAGTGTCTCTTTGATGCTAAGTTTGGGATGGGAAGAGTCCCTGTCCTCATGAAAGTTTTGATGGTGAATCCCAAAGCAGGGAGTTTCTGAGACAGGTACAAAGGTTACTTGGCATTTCAGGGTGTGCAAGAAAAGGTCTAGTAAAATTGCCACTATCTATGTCACTGTTTAATTTCCTTTCCACAGAAACCATATGAGGTAAAAGGTTAAGTATGATAGATTAGATTATATTGATTCTACTTAGATTAGTCTTGCTATTCTGGATTCACGATCACACTGGGTCATGAGGCGGCTTCTTTGGTTTGAGTTTAGAGTGCCGTGAGAATCCTGCCACTGTGGTTTGTAAATGTCTTAGTTTACTTATAAACTAAATCTTTTTGATTTAGGCAACAAATCATGGCTAAAGCAAGCCATATCTTAGTCTGAAGTGTAAGCCCATCCAAAGTTTAAAATGGAATGCAATAGGATTCTTGTGATATAGCAAATCAGAGCTCAGTAATTCCTGCTATCTCAAGATTAGTGGCAGTTTTTCGTTTGTTCGCTAGATTTATATCCCACCTTTTGTTCAGGAGCTAAAGATGGCAGACAGAGAGCTGCCTCCTCCTATTTTCCCCCATAATAAGAAGCTTGTGAGGTAGTTTGGAAGCACAACCTGCCCAAAGTCCCCCAATGAGCTTCCATGACTGAAGATGGGCTGGTATCTGAGTCACACCAGTGCCAGTCCAACACACTAATCGCTACGCCAGTTTGGCTCTTTCAAAGACATGGTTTTAGAAACTATGGCTAGAACTGCTAGTCAGTTTTACTAACAATTATAACAGCCAATATTTTGATTTAATGTAAGGCAGGTTCCTGATTGGAGCCTTATTTCTGGTTTTGTAGAAGTTGACCATATACCATAAAGCTTGCTAAGCCTCACCTCCTATACCACATTTATCCCAAGCATATAATAAGAAAAGCTATTCAAGTAAAGAAATATACAGAAATGGTTATAAAAGTCATGACATTAACAACAACTTTGTTTTTATAGGTTTTATCTCAATTTTGTTACTGAAGAAGTGGAAAACCCTGAAAGGCATGTACCTACCCCTTCTCAACTTTTAGCAAAATCCTTAAAACTTTTAAAATGTATAATGCTGGTGAAAAGAGGGAAAAGGTTGATATCTAAGACCTATATTTTATTTAAGATGATCTTGCATGATGGTCAGGTTGTTTTTGTTTTGCAGACTTAATCTGAATGTGTTCTTGCTTCAAGGTTTGCTATTTTTGACTTGACTTGGCCTGAGTTAATAAGCAAGTAGATCTCTAATCATCCTTTCAGTCATATGAGATAATTTCAGTGGATATTACTGGCAAGGCCCTAAGGAAGAGTTAAGACTCTTAATGAAGATTTTGTAACAGATGCTATATCTTGGATATAAGTCAGCCAAGTTGTTTTGTGATTTCATCCTACTAAGACCTAATTTAAATAAGGCAGAACCCTGTAGACAAAACAGTTGATGATTTAAATGGCAGCATACAATTAGACCATTTATGTACAGACTTAGAATGTTAACAATCTGTGTCCTAGGAGGATGTTTTGCTAAAGTTGGTAAATTATCCAGTGGATACACAAGAATTTTAAAATGAGATGGCTGTTATATGGAATACTTATATGCCTCCCACCCCCAATGGATTTCTTATGTTTAAATCCAACTGGGGGATCATGTAAGAATTTTGGAATTCTGGTGGACCTTTACTACCAGTGCAGAGTAATAGTGTTGTTATGTATTCTGGTATGGGCATAAGTCCAAGTTTGGCAACTTGCATTCCCAGAACAGTCCTTTCTCCCTTTTGGCAACCTTTGAAGTTCTATCCAAAACTCATTGGTGTGATGGTTGAAAATTGGCAAAGTGGCTTCCTACAATTTTGAGGTGGGCCAACGTGAACATTTAGGTTAATCCCTAAAATGTATTTTACATGTTTAAAAAAGAAGCAAAATCCTTCTCCAGTGCCTCAAAACTGGAAAAGAAATAGAAAATTTTAGTCCCACCCACATACCAATCTTAATCATTGGCTCATACATCAAAAATATTAAGAAAGTTCACCAGAAAGTTGAATTCTCTTGATGTAAGTTGAAATATTATATAGTTGCATGGATATCCAAGAACTGCTAGCAATATGTTTGTCAGGTAAACTTAAGATTTACAAAAGACTATAAAACAATATATAGTATAGCTTCCAAAACTAAGTGATTCTATATGATTCTAACTAAGCAATTCTAAGTTCTAAAACTCTTCATTTTGCAAGATGTTGAAAAAGCCTGAAATAAGGAGAAGGGTGGGGAAAATGTGGCCAGTATGTATAAGTGAGATCCATATCAGCTAGCATACTGAAATGGACCATGGAAGAAGTCTGTAGACAAGCAAATTTGTCTTATTGTGGACACAGAAATGATGGCAGGTTGCATATAGCTTATTTTCCTTACTTTGGGAATGTTGTTGCCTTCTGTTTTGCACAGATATGTAATTTTCAAGCTCATTTAAATTGGTTCTAAAGAATATCAAAACCTACTTGGTTGTCTCAGGCCTAAACTATAGGTTATTTGCATATTCTCCTGTACCATTTCCAGATTTTATTTACTCTGTCATATGTGCATGTGACAGTCCCAGGTCTTCTAGGGCTCTCCACAGCTTGTCATGATCGACACAGTTGAAGGCTTTCTTGTAGTCAATAAAGCAGCAGTAGATGTTCTTTTGATATTCTTGAGATTTTTCCATGAACCAGCATAGATTTGTAATGTGGTCACAGGTGCCATGACCTCTTCTGAAGCCAGCTTGAACATCTGGTAATTCCCTTTTGATGGTTGGCACCAAATGTTGTATGATCTTAAGAAGAATCTTGCTAGCATGAGGGGTGAGGGCAATTGTGTGGTAATTGGAGCAATTTTTGACGTTGCCCTTTTTTGGCAATGGAACAAACACTGATTATTTCCAATCCTGTGGCCATGTTCATTTCCTACTTTTTCTGGCACAAGGCTGTGATGGTTGTGGGTGGTTCAGGCCTCAGCAATTCTGCAGGGATGGTATCAACCACTGGGGCCTTGTAGATACAGACTTCTATAGAAGGTGGGGAAGCCTCATTCTTCTTTGCAGCCCTTTTGTTTGGAAAAATGAGCACTTGAAAAAGTCTGAGAAAAGAAGACTGAAGGAAGACATGATATCAGTCTTCAAGTCCATAAAAAGGTGCCAAAGGGACGATAGTCAGGAATTGTTTTTCCTTGCCACAGAAACTATAACCAGAATTAACAATAAAATTTACAGTTAATTCAATTTCATTTAAATACAAGGAAAAATATCCTGATAGTAAGGTTTGTACAATAGTGGAATAGTTTACCTTCAGAGTTTATGTGCTCCATCTCTGGAGGCTTTGAAGAAGAAGCCAGACAATTTTTTTAGGATGGTTGAACTGATATTCCTGTACAATGCGCAGAGTTGGACTAGATGCTTATAGTCTCCTCCAAATTCACAGTTCTATGATTTCATGAATTATGTGTGCATAGCTAGTAAAAAGTGCCTGCTACACATTTCTTAGAAAAAAGTTGTAAAAAATATATTTAGATTTTTGTATGGGCTTATTAGCCTGTTTGCAAATTGTTTGGAAATAAGTTAAAACAAATGAGAAGTCTAGAAAACAAGAAACTGGGCAACATTAACAGATTTTACACATCATTAACATCTGTACTAATGTGGAAATGCAGAGATTTTGTTAGCTGATTTGGTCCCCAAGAAGTAGACATTGTTTCAGTGGCAGAAAAGGCTGAAGAGTTTATAGAAAACTTTGGTCTTAAAACACACTAGAATACTATCCCTTAAACACATTAGTACTATCAAATACTATCTTTTTGTAGACAACCTCAGAGTGAGGAGATATGTAAATCTAACCAACTAAGCAACCAAGGCAGATTTGGGGCTCACAGGATTAGATTGCTATACAGTCCTCTTGCTTGCTTTGCTGTGGGGCTTTTATTTAAATCTGCCAAAGTTCACATTATTCAAGCTGCAAAATTTTCTTTTGCAATGAATTTTCCACCTAGAATCGTTACTATTGTCATGAATGACATCAGTTTTGTAATTTCTCCAGATGTATAATTGGTGATATTTTGTGAGGAACTATATATACAAATTAGTACCTGGAACATGGAATTGCATAATGAACTTGTCTGTCTTGGGCTTTGCCAAAACAAATGCTTGCTCCAAAATCAGTCACAGTTATGTTTCCAGGTGCACTTCATGATGCAGAAAAACGGCGGTTGGAATTCCTATCATCAGTTCATGCCCAAACAGTAATAATTACCTTTATGTAACATTAGGATGACTGTATGCTGGAAAATAATTATGTGGCAAGGACTAATATTTGTACCTGAAGAAATGAATCTATGTGACCCAAGGCATATGTTGAATTAGAGTTAAGCCATTGTGCTAAACTGAATCCTTTAAAGAATGATTTCTGTAATACGTTTATAAGCCTCCCCCCCCCTCACCCACAAGACTACAATATTCTTTTTTCCTCATTTGATTTGGAACAAACACTATTTCATTTTATTACACTGACATTACTTCTCATATGTTAAAGGATAATTAAGCAACTATTTTATAAGCAACAAGATGATGCAAAAGAATAAATAATATACTATAAGAATAATTTAATTCAATAAACTGTAGAACAATATTTGATAGCCAGTTTGGTGTACCAGTTAAAGGTGCCAGGCTAGAAACTTTGAGACTGTGGGTTCTAGTGCAGCCTTAGGCATGAAGCCAGCTGGGTGACTTTGTGCCAGTCACTCTCTCTCAGCCCTAGGAAGAAAGAACTGGCAAGCCACTGCTGAAAACTGCATGGACTTTTCCAGGCATTCACCAAGAGTCAAGGTTGTGTCAAAGGCATAACAACAACAACACAACAACCTTAATCCAATAAGAATGAAGCATATAAACTATCGAGTTATGTAATTAGGACATTGAATCCCAACCCAGTAAAAACATCCATCTTGTATATATTTTAAAGCATTTTATAAAGATCTAGGTAAGTTTAAAATGTGACATGAGGCTATAAATATGAACATCCCAATATAAACTGATCTAGATATTTGGTATTAGGAACTGCTTCTAAAGTTTTTGGCTTCAAATGATTAACCTGTAAATAAATTAAAACAATAATACTTGAAGGCAACATACTTTAATAGTCAGAATGGCCAGAAACATAGACTCAGACATTGCTTTTCTAGTAACTCTGGTTAAAAATACAAACAAAAAACCAGAATTTTTTATTTACATATGAAGTGGACCTTTCAAAAGTTTGCAAATGTTCTTTTTCTGCTTGTTAAATAAGTTTGAGGCTGTTCTATCAATTTATCATTGTTTTAAAAGTTACACTGTGAAAATAATGTATTATTGAGATGTATAGTATTTGTAAGCCTACTCTTGGGTTGATAAATCATGCCTAGTGCCTGTAGAAATCCAGAGAATGAATTGCTTTGTTATGACCTTGAGGGGTCTTAGATTAGTCAGTTCGTCTATTAGACTTGCTGCACTGTACGTCTCACTTCATTTATTCCTTCTGTTCTTGAAAGCCAGGATGCTACAGATTTGTTGCCAGGGTTTCATATCATTGCTCATTTTGGAAAAGCAGAATATCAGAATGGCACCCATAATCTTTTGCGTTTTTTAAAGATCAGGTTTAAATAATCTGACTGTCATATTTAATTAATAGACTGTCTGCTTCCGATTTATATTAATTAATGGCTGAAAGTCTCAACATCTTGAGTCAATGAGAAGTGGAAAGACAAAGCAAAATAGTGGATATATTTCCAGTGTTAAGCATGTTGACAGAAAAATGAGAAACAAACAACTTAGAGCTGAAGAAATCATAGCATAGCATAGAAAATCCCAGTCCTTCCTGAATTTTGGAATGCCATATTCTAATGCAACATAACTCCTAATTAAATCATTAACTCTCACGATGCTTTAAAGAGCAATAATAGACCTAATTTTATTTATTATTTATTCATTTATCAGATTTATATGGCCACCCATCTCT